ACAGAAAAACATACACTATTGGGAGCATTTACAAAATTAGGAGTTCTTTGTCTTCATTTTGTGATTACAAAATTATAATTATCAGAATGAAAAATTCAGCATGTGTATCTGAGTTACTCCTCTATTTTGCACGTTTCTAGGTATATTCAAGAGCGTCTTTAGTTATGTTTACATTATGTAAATGTTGTCAAATATGTTATGTGTTATCAAATATAAAATTTATTGATATTGAAAGACTATTAATGTTGCTTTATATTCAATATTTTGGTAGAAAAATCAGAATTTTGGAACTTTAATATTTGTTGAAAGGTTGTTTCAATCCGACCAAACCGACCCAACCCGACCGACATTTGGTTGGGTTGGGTTGGGTTGGGTTGAATTTCAATCAAACCAATCGTATTGGGTTGGGTTTGGATTGGGACAAAAACCGACCCGACCCAACCCACGCCCACCCCTAGTTTTCGATGGACTTCAACTGAGTTGGTTGCACACTGATTCAACCGTTCCTACCGCATTTATTCACAAATTGGTTTGTCAAATGAGTTGGTTGCACACTGATTCAACCGTTCATACCGCATTTATTCACTAATTGGTTTGTCAATTTTTGAATGAATCGTCGAGTCCAACTCAATTTTAATAAGGTGACTTGCTCAACATTGATTAAGCATGCGATTACTAATTTTATCCCTCTAAGAGAATTTTTTTTTTTTTTTTAATCACAACTTAAGAAAATTTTGTTCCTCTCAATTAAGAAAATTCGACATTTTTTTGGACCATCAGATAGTTAAATTTAAATGAACCTCAATTTTTAAAATTACCAAAATATTGAAAGAAATATTGTTCAAAATAAAACTACGAGAAACTTCGTTTGATCTAATTCCAATCCTTCCTACAGAAATGGTTAACATTGTTAAGAATATGAAGACGCAGATTTGCATTTCATAACTAGCAGAGAGGATTGAATTATTATGGGTCTTCTAAATCTGGCCTAGGCCAGAATTAACAGGCACAAACTCTGCTACCACAGACTCAAATAGCGTAATGCATGAATTTTTTGACTAGCTGAGGGATTAAGCAACATGGTTTGAGACGTGTTTCCTACAGAAAAAAATTATCAGCGTCGGGGAAATCATAGTCGCTCCTAGATGGATACAACCTAGTGTAGATATAGAAAAATGACTGCATTTTGTCTAGTCATAAGAAATCGTCAATTTCTAAAGAAAGAAGACAAACTATTTCGAGAGTAAGAGTATAGTATCCCATGTCTCAATGTCAAATATAATTAGCAGAAATCATGTCACACCAAGAAAAATAAGACACATGATGAATGTAAACAAGGCCTGCAATCCATTGAATAAACCGCTAGTTCTACCGTATCAAAAAAGAAACTCAAATTTTACAGGCAAAGGTGAGACCCTCTGTGGCTAGCTGATCCAAACTGTGTGCTGGAGGCTGAACCCTTGCAACTTTGGCAATTGCCTTGTTTTCTTCGGGAGTACCACCTTCCAAAAATGCACCAACAACCTTCCCGTCTTTGATCCAATATGATCCGAACTTGTGAGTTGGAGATGTGGGGCTGCCATCTCCAAAGAACACGGTTTCACCTACATTGTCACCATAAAACTGCCATGACAGATCAAATGCACGGGAATAGAAGTACGGAAGGTAGTCGTATTCATCAATAGAGTTTCCTTGTTCACTTGAGAAAATTGCCTGCAGCGTAACATGTTACTCAGTCTTAGCTCAGTTGCACAGAAGGTGATATTTACAGTTTAGCTACAAAAGTTTCACAATCGAAACCTCATAAAAACAATTGAAAGATGGCGAGAATGAGAATATATTTCATCTGAATGTTCTGGACAAAGCCATTTCAAGTACCACTCCAGTGTTTATTGTCAAAAGAACGAAAACTGAGCAAGGAAAAATGATGTGCAGTCAAAACAAACAATATAATATGTTCAGGAGTCAACAGCAATTTAACATTTGAGCGATTAATATGCATAGTGAGTCAAAACTTTCCATCATATGTTTAGTGATGGCTTAGAGTTTACACTTATAGATGCACCAGAATGACTATATTATTGAAATATATAGGATGTGAAGACCATTTAATTTTGAGTATTTGTTTGCAAAATGCCCAGCACGTTGATAATAAACCAGTCAAGAGAAATAAAATCATTCATATGAAGACATCAGATACCTTTACAGCTTGTTCAGCAGATTTGCGAGCATGATCAACATGTTCAACTCTTCTCATTTCATTGTACAACTTCATAGGGAAAGTAGCAACATCACCCACAGCATATACATCAGGAACACTTGTTTTGAAGAAACCATCCGTCTGTAATCAAAAAGTGACGTAGGATGCAATCAAACAATTATAGGAGAAGTGGAAAATTGGAAATGGGAGAAGAGAAGAGAAGAGAAAGGAAGGGGAAAAGAGGAGAAGAGGAAGATGGAAGGAGAGACATAGACAAGGGAGAGGAATTAGATATACAGATTGTCAATATCAAAGTTGTATCTACTACAATGCATAAGCCCCCTTTATATTGGGTTTCAAAAAATTTAATCTAAATAGGAAACATCTAATCAAATCCTAAAAAATCTAGTAAATAAACATAATAAAATCCTAGGAAATTTAGTAAATATCCTAATAACTTTTTTCTAAAATAAGATTCTGAATATGGAAAATAATCATATAATAATCTAATATGATTTCCATCATTTCTCTTGAGACTCGACTCCGACAAGATAGATTACAACTTCTTAGCCAAGGAGGGTGATATTTCTTCCTGCCAAATAATGAAACCGATCATATGACGTCAAATCCTTCTTTTGCGACCTGATTTTCTTATTTTCAGTTGTGGTTATTTTTTTGGTGGTTGAAAGGTGACTAAGGACGTGAGTGTATACATTTTGAATTTGAACATGAAATTTGTTTGACCAAAGGAAAATGACTTGATCTAATACCAAATTAACGTAGGATGCAATCAAACAACTATAGGATTAGGGAAAGGGGAGAAAAGAGAAAATGAAGGGGAAAAGAGAAGAAGGGAAACATAGGAGGGAGAAACAAAGGGGGGGAAGAATTAGACAAGCGGAACACAAATTCAAGAGAAAGAAAGTATCAATTTAGTTCATTAACAAAGTTCTATCTATTAAAATACGAAAGTCCGATTTATATGATGACTAAACTAGTCCTAATTAAAGTAGGAAAATACTATAAAATCTATGAAATCAAAATCTCATTATATTTCCTAAAATAAGAATCAAAGATGAAAACTAAATTAAATAATAAGATTCCCATCATTTAAACTAAATTTAATAATATCTCTATAAGATAACCATCAAAAAGTCTCAAAAAATTACCACATTCAGAATATAATACAACACAAAAAGTTGTTATCGGTATGACTTTGAGCTCAAAACATAGTCACAGTTTTGTTCATCAATATCCTAAAAATGGAGGCTCTGTTCTCCGTATTTATTGTGAATATTCATGGAGAAGGCATAATTTTATTTAAGCAATACAGTCTGTTCGTGATCATTATTCCTTAAAATTTTCTTGATGGCATGCATCATGTGTTGGCCACTGCTATTAGATGATTTGTATGGAAGCAGCTGCTCCTTTTATAAAATTTTAAAAGATGATATCATACCAGTTGTCTAGAAGACAAACTTGGATGTTTTCTTATTTTTCTTTGATACTAAATATTATGTGGAACCTTATCAAAACATCAACATTGAAGACAACATAATTCAGTGAGCAATTAATTGATCAAAGCCTTAGCAAAAAAATGAAATAGTACAACCAATGGTTTTCATAAATTTACTTGTTCCTTGACCCTTTTTAAATTTTGGTCATTCATGTTGATGTCTCCTAATTTTGTTTACTAATTATTTTGACATCAACTATCCAAACATGGAGAGTTGAGACAAATAGATTACATAAGCACTCTATTGATCGAAAGCACTAACAAGAAATGTGATCAATTTAGGGGAAACATTGAGTGAAGTCACGCACCTTGATTCCACCCTTTTCCTCTTCAACCTGGCCCTTAAATAATTTTGTTACTGGCCTTCCCCCTACACCAACAACAACTATATCGGCTTCCATAACCCTACCATCCTTAAGTTTTACATCTGTAACCTGAAAGTTGAGATACAAAATTACCACATATGACTACCAGGACACAGATCAATTCAGAAATGAAGAATAAATACGTGCTTGAGAACGCACCTCTCCATTTTCGTTTGTGCCAAACCCAGTGGCTACTGTCCCCTTGATGATTTTGATTCCCTTGTTTGCATAGTAACCTTCATAGAAGCCAGCTAACTCGGAAGTGAATAGCCTAGGCACTGCATAAAGATGATGCATAATCAAGGTGAAGGGTACCCAGAAAAGCCAAGTCAGATTACACCGAGGAACTAAAACAACTTATAAAATGAAAATCCATAGTATTATTTATGTTTCAACTTACTACACCAAGGTTCAGGGTACACCATGCTGACATCAATGCTGTTAATTTTCAAAGCTGCACTAAGCTCAAGACCAATGTATCCACCGCCAACAACCAGTGCCTTTCCATTTTTCTTTGCTTTGATTACTTCAACAAGTTTATCAGCATCATCAATTTCTCTCAAATAAAAAATATTTTTGGCATCAGCCCCTTGTACACCAAAGTCTGATAATCTGACAACCTGGCAAAAGTAACATACACAAGCAGAAACTTCAGTTGAGTACATGAAAATCACACTTGAAAATGAACAGAATCTAGTTCCATGCTACTCAACAGTAGAACCAGTTGCTATAATCAGTATCTGATATTTAAATGTTTCGCCAGCTGCACTGATAAGTGTTTTTGAAGCAAGATCTACTTTAACTACTTCTGTGTTCAGGATCAAAGATATCCCTGTATATCATCAAGACGAGTTCACATTAGGGATTTTCATGCAAACAGTGTATGTTCTTCTGTCGGGTTAAAGCTTTCTAACAATTAGCCAATAGGTATTACCTTTCTCTGCATACCACTCAGGAAGAAGCCTCTCTCCTCCACTTCCAACACACACATGAAAACCTGGAAGTCTTGCAGTTCCTGGAGAAAATATAAAATCACATTTCCATCAGAAATTTCCAATGCAAATGTTTATATGAAAAATAAGCTGCTATACATTTGAAGACCACTATCATGACATGAAGAAGAGAAAAAAATGGTTAAAATTTTGCAAAGACACTACTAAACTACTGGAAAGTTTGATATGATAGAAGAACTAATCATACCAAGTAATAATATTCAAATTTGTTAGACATATATAGGTGATGTGAAATTTCCTAATATTGGTTTGACCAGGGGTTCCCCTCTCTTATGGATTTGCCAGTGATGGCATCTGTTATTTATGTATTGCAAATTCGGTGTTAAAATACAAATCTCACTTGATCATTGAGAAACAAAGAAGGTAAAACAACTTACCCTCAGGAAATAGATATGCTTTGCTAAGTGCTGGACGTTCATAAGGAGCCACCTGAAACCATCAATTAACCGTATACAGTAAAGTTGATAAGAAAAAAGAATTCCTTTTAATGCCATGAAAAGAGACATTTCCAGTATAGATGTTAGGGCAGATACATTAACAATGAAAGAAAATAAAGTAAGAAGCAGTTGATTCCATGTTAGCCTAGCCGCTTCTTCTCCCAAAACAAATTACTAAAATCAGATTAATTAAAATTCTAACAACTATAAAAGTAGAAATGGGAACACATAAGGACAACCTGTGGACCACGGACACTCCTAGTGTGAAGTATGGTATGCGGCATATCAGAAATTAACACTCCCCAAACACGTCCAACACATCACGTTGTGTGTCCTAAATCTTTTACATATCTTTTAATTTTTGACACACGAGGCACACAAAATCCAACACGACAAGGATATGACAAGCCTCATGTTATAAATTTAAAATACAAAATTACGAATGGATTAAGTTATTAAAACATTCGAGTAAAAAAATGAAAAATATGTTAAGTTGTAGTGCCAAATTCTACTATATATATATCAAGCGTGCTTTTTTTTTTTTTTTCTTCTTTTATGGGCTATCAAGTGAAATTTTAAATACATGAATATTATTATTTTGTTGCACAAGTAATACAAATTACAACCCCAAAGACTGAGCAACATAACATAGAAAGTAGTAATTGAGGACTCTCTTAATTGTGAACACGTCTGACACTTCATTGAAATGCTAGGAAAAGTTACCAAGTTCAAATAGTTAAGTAGAATTTGTGGGATCAATAAAGCAGGACAAAGAAAAAGGGTCCTCAATAGACTGAAATAATTTCATTCTGCTGATTTTTTGACGTGCAACAACCAAATAAGAATGTTTAATATCACTTAGTGTAAATCACTTAATGACTTCTTCTTCTTTCAAACACCAGACAGATAGAAGCAAATTCATTTTTTTGCCATAGCCAAGGATAACACAAGAAATGAATCAAAGTTTTTTTGCTGCATAATAATTGTCTTAAGAGAATACTGTCAAAGTGCATACCGCCTCTTTGGAAATGATAGCCAGTTCACCCGGATTAACTCCCTGGTTGGCAAATTCTCTGGCAGCATATCCCTGTGAGCATAACCAAATTTTGACTCAGTAACCATATTTAATAACAGTATGGAACAATAGTCGAAAAGCACTTGCAATAAAATGTATCAGACCGTCCGCATTCTCAATGCAGTTATTCAATTGGCTTAACCATTTTCATATCTAAGCAACTTCACGTAATTGTGGAAACTTGAAATCAAAACAAACAGATTGTGCAACAACACTTGACATCGAGAGTATCCCGCATTTTCATGTAAAGACGCGTACAATTTTATATACTCCTATTCGGACAGCTTAACCAATTAAAGCCTAAAAATGTAATTGCATGAGCGTGTAGAACTGTTTATTACAATCAAAGGCTTGCTGAGATCGTGACAGAAAATCAATGATATCAACAAGAAATTGACAAATATAAAGGTGTTTTTTAGGATAAAGCCTTTGATTAAGTCAGTTAAATCTAGGGGAGAACTACGGCTGTTTGATCTGTAACTGTGTAATGACTGGAATAAAATAAAAAATATATTAGGCAATCTTTATATAAAAAGATTTTCAAAAATACATGTGAGATTGCGGATTGAGTAAAAAAAAGCTACTTAGAAATTAGAACACGAAGAACAATGAGCAAAAACTCAATTGATCAAAAAAAAAAGTAAACTATACAAAATAATCAAAATACAATAAAATGACCGATGTAGAAAATACTCACGGCAGCGACTCCACCACCGATGATCACGTACTTGAATGCCTTCTCTGCCATTGAATCAATTCAGTGCTTAATCAATCGATTGATTGTATAATTCTACAGTTACAAACTCGGAAACTTACGTGCTTTTTTCCAGTTTTATAGGGAGGTCAAGATGCGGACTTTGATTAGCTGAGTGGGAGGTATGAAATGAAAAAGATGTGGAAACCAATCGCGGACATACACGTGGAAGAAATTTGTATGTGAAGCCTCCACCGCGACTGCAAACTTTCCAGATCAGACTAGATTATATTGACAAGAATGGGAATGCTAAGATTCTATTTGAATAGATGCCGATTGCAACGCGGTGTTCACACCTTCTGGCTTCCAGAATCCGTCAATTGTTCTTAAAAATTGGTGATCGGGCCCTCGGTTGTTAGAACCAATACAAGCTCGTATGGACGTGATAAATAAAATCTCGCTTAATTTTCACAGGTGATCTCGCTTATGAGCAATTTTGTTCTATCGAGTTATATCTATATTCGTCTCTCCGATGAAAAGTTTTTTAAGATGATCCTAGTGGTCAACTTCCGGCAAATTTATTTTCGTCATTTGCAATGGCTATGGTCTTTTCGTGTAAAATTATTTGTAATCTTTTAGGATGAATAGCAATGGATTCCTAATATGTTCTCAAATTAGACTATAAGGGTCGAAGAAAAACAATCATTCTTTGATAAAATCAGCATTCTTAAGGTCAAAGAGTTGGATGGAAAAGAACATAAAGGGCGGTAAATCGAGTAATATATATAGTAATTGTTATACCCATAAATTATCTCATATTGGTAATGGGTTGGGCCCATTAGGCCCGCTTGGTCCATTTTCACTTTTATATATGTGCAATTCATTTCATAATGAGGGAGAGGTCCACGTGGAAGGAACGTGGCAGGAATTCTGTTGACTCATTTTTTGGGTCAACAATAATCATGTTGAATGGGAACTTCTCAACAAAGCTAAAGGAGAATTAGAAAAATGGTCAAGACCTTTAAGAGCCCACCATCTCAAATGATCTAGCATATACCGACGGTATAATACCGTTATTAGATTATTACAAGTAACAATAAGTCTCGTTTTTATATATGGATAGATATAATTTGATAAGAAAACAAATAAGAATAAGTATTTAGAAAACAATTTAAATAACAGCAAATTGGTTAAATTTTAATATAATTTAAATTATTTAAATACAAATATCAAATAATTAATGATTGAGTGGATTATACTTTGAGCCTAATGGTTCATCACAAAGTAGGTGAATGGACAAGTATTTAAATGAAGTAGCCAAGATTATTCTATGCGCAACAGCAACGGTATATGTGCAATAAATAAGCGGGCACAAGGGAGGGCGTCACCAATTACGTAACGGATTGCACCTAAAGGGCTGCGTATTTATTGATAATACATGTGAAAGGAATCAATAAATATTTGCACCTAATCAATTTTTGTTTGTTGATATGAGGAATTTTATAGTTATTACCATCGTTGACTTTTAACCATGTATGACAACAACACATTGTTTTAATCAGAAATGATCTAATAAGTACCGGTGCTCATCTTATACTAAGCACCGATGAGTTGGCACATTAATTCATTGGTGGATTGGAACTCACAAAATCTTTATCCACCAATGAATTAATGTGCCAACTCATCGGTACTTAGGATAAGATGAGCACCGGTGCTCATTAGATCATTTCTGTTGTTTTAATATTGAGTTCGGAATATGTCAAAAACTTTCTTCACGGCTGAAACAAATTCATCAATTGTAGCGAGAGGTGAGAGCCTCTTCGTGTTGAAGTGAATCAATAGCTCTAAAAAAACCAAGATCCAAGAGATATATAACAGGATTGTTCGTAGGTTGACAACATAAAGAAATGTCGAATTCATCTTTTCTTGTAGCTTCTGCAAACTCGACGTCATTCAGGGATAGACACAGACAATTAAAGTTAGAGGGCACAATCGAATTTGCAAAAAAGTTGGGATAAATTTTACAATCGAAAATTTACATCCAAAAAAAATCATATCCTATGTAATTTTGCATCTGAAAATTTACATGGAACGTGATTTTTTCGGATGTAAAATTTCGAAATTTTTTTATGTCATATTCCATATAAATTTCCTAATAAAATAATGCAAATTGCTTGAGAAATTTATATCACAAAAATAATAAATGTTAATGAAATAATTGATTTAAGATGTACGTTTGAAGCATCTGTAACTATTTTCGATATCTGTTTGAACTATTCGATATGCTTATAATGTAGTCCTTGAAACAAGATTTGAGATGATATAAGCAATTTGTACATTCGACTACCGTACGATCGTCTGAGAATTTTTAAAGTTAGCATGTTATCGAAATTCTCGAAATACTAATTTTAAACCACCTACTTTGACAAGTCGTAACATTTGCTACGATTAGTCGTTTCGCAGGCCGTTAACGACATAAAAAACTAGATTGTGAGCACTTTGAAATAATATTAAGAATGTAATATTTTTATTTCATTTCACATCTTATAATGATTTCGAAAATTGAAACAAAAAAAAAAAAGCGAATTTGGGAGCACGTGCCCCAGGCCCACCCCTGGGTTCGCCAGTGACGTCATTAACATTTAAATGTGGCTTTATCTTGTTGAATGAAGACGGTCATAGAACATGGCCATTTTTCTTTGATTGAAGGCAATAATTTTTGGATTAAACATGGTAAAATAACATCTTTAGAGTGTGTTTGGTAGAGATTTTTGGGGGAAGAATTGATTTTTGAATAGTGATATGATGAGAAATGTGTGGTTAAAAAAGAAGAAAAAAGTATTGATGCTATGGAAAATATTATTTTATTGAAGAATGTATGGTTGAAAATGAGAATTGATTTACTGTAGAAAATAAGAATTTTTACCAAACAGGCCCTTAGTAACCGACAGAATTAACTTTGTCTCTAAAGTTCCTACCGTACGACTTTTATTATTCCGCTTGGTTCTTCCTTAAACATGAATAGCCATATTCCAATTTTCCCATTGAAATTCTTTATTGAAGTGACATCAAATTGTGGACGGGAGATAACAACTAATAACATAAGCTTTGCAATAAATCATTTACTTTTGCATGTTCAAGGGCTCTGTTTCATTCAGATGGAGATAATACTTTTGTGACACCTTAGATATGTAAAATCACTTTTCATTAATTTTAATTTGACTGTGCATGATAACAAACAAAGGTTTATATGTAAGTGTGGCTTTGTTGATCATTGACAAGCAAAACTCTAACATTGCTTTCTTGTTGCCATCCGACAAATATGGTTTCACATGACTTGAGTGTGGCCTAATATGTCCTCCTTTGATTCTTTTATACACGGTTGATTTGCCGCATTCAAAGCCTTCGATAATGATCTTACATTTATTCAAGAACGAAAATGATATCTTTCATCCATTCTAAATCTACTTCAACTCTCTTGCGACCAACCCATTTCACAGGCTTCTAGAAAAATCTGGTACATCACCATTTGCAGTAGCAAAACATTTCGTGTCATGCCAAACTTGAGAAACTGACCCAGTAGATATAGAAAAAGACTACGACTTTTGAAATGACTCCTCTTGCTGACTTTCCATCTTAGCTTTCTTGGAGTAGCATTTAAAAAATAACTCTCTTTTATTATTACATGTGAAATTTTCCCCTCCTTTTTTTTGGTAGACGTCCATGTATGTCTTTCGAAACTGTCATGGTATTACTGATAGAGTTTACATCTTTCGAAAATGATTCAAATCAATCAAAGTATTTTGTGGTGAAAGCAAATACACATCATCGGGCGAGGGGAAATTTTTGAGAGTACAATATATAAAATTTTGAGATAAAATAACTTTATTCGAATGATAAAATAGTTATCTAGTGAAATAAAAACACAATGGTAATTTTGTAAATACATTACAGTGGATCATAGGGCTGTGTAGAATCTTAGGTGCTCACTCGATACTCATATAGAGTTCCTGTCAATGTCAACCTGCATAATACTGAAGGCAGTTTACTTCATGAAATAACCCCGTTGGATATTTTCCTTAATTTTCTCAAATTGATGTATTGTTTTCGTTCTGTACTTGCACTGAATGACTGAAATAGTAACATTCAATGCATGCTCGTATGTCATTTGGGCAATGGTTAAAGCAGGAAGCTAAGGCTCCATGGTAAAAGAATAATGGCAACTCTTCACCAATTCATCGATAAAAAAGAAAAAAAAAATGTCAAGTAGATCTCTATAAGGGTGTGTTTGATATGCCAAATTTTCTTTGGAAGTTGGATAATAAATTCATTTCCCTTGCATTTGAGTTGTTTGAAGGCAACTTTTTCCCTCCCATTTGTTTTCCATCCAGCTGCCTCACGCGCCCAAATTCAAGGTTTTGTGGGAGGTGGGAAAATGAATTCCACGAGCTGCTGACTTTATTTATTTTTTGGCATTGGAACCAAATTTCATAACCAAGTGTAAAAAAAAATTTCACTTTCATAGACAATTTTGATGCAAACGAAAATCAAACGAATATTAAATTTTGATGAAAAAATGAATTTTTAGTGAAACAAATTTTATAACCAAGTGTTGAAAAAATTATCACTTTAATAGACAATCTCCATATAAAATAAAGCCAAACGAATAGAAAATTTAAAAAATTTTCGGGTGGAAAATTATACCAATCAAACACACTTAATTAACAATTCCCTACAAAATATTTTCTATGCAATTATTTTCCATGGAAATCATTTTTTTTCCACCCATTTTTCACCCTTACAATCAAACGTACTCTAAGAGAAATGACAATCTATCTTGTAAAGAATCAAGTGCAATGCAACGCACGTGGTAAATACTAGTGTTTATTAAGTGGCGAAATAGCCTAGTTAATTTTTAAATATTTTATTTTATTTTTAAATGAGTTCGATAGCAAATATTTGATCGCACTGTTTCAATGGTCATTTACTAAAGAAAATGATGTTTTGAATCTTTGTGATAACATTTGGTGTTGACCCCTAAAAATGTTTCAATG